TGGCACCAAAAAAAAAAAAAAAAAAAAGAATAAATTTTGCACCCAAAGAGGTAGCTTCAAGTCGGGCCCAAGAATTCAGCGTGCCCTTCTTGAAGGTCTGTCATGTAGTTCTGAAGTGGACTAGTCAACCTCCATAATCGTGCATGCCAAACACAGCAATCAATCTTGATTATATCCTACTGGTTATATTTCTTGGACACAAACTTGATACTGACATGTAGGTTGAAATGCATATGCTAAAGATATGGGATTAATGCGCTCCCGCAGCTTGAACCATTGACCGTCCCATCGGGCGACTTGTACCACTGGTGGTACAAATGGATCTAATTGCTTTTATCTGCTTTTTTTACTAGTAAAATTAATAAAAAGCAGCCCAATGGGACAGTCATGCATGTGCCACCAGTGGTTTAAGCCACCCGGCAGTGAGACATATGAATTATGGTACTACTGTGAATGTGTTAAGTATTTTTAGGTCTTTCATAGTTCTATTCTCTACTTGAACTTCAAAGCTATTCAAGTAAATAATTCTGTTCTTGATTTTACCAGCAATCACTGAAAGGTTTCTGAATAATCAATACCAAATTAAATGCCATTCATGATCCTCACTCTGCTTCAGCAGAGATTTCAAGTTCAAAAGAGAAAGATTAAATTTGTTAATATAAGCATTTTCATGCTTTACTTTTTTCTTTTAAATATATTTTCTTTCACTTTACAAAAATAAATCCAGTTTTCAAATTTTAATAAAATGCCTATTATTGAGATTAAATATTTCATTCTGCTGAGTTAGCAAGAAAATATCATCTTGAATCAATTTTGAACCATCTATGGAAAACAGTGAAAGCCTGACTTCTGAGCTCACCTAACATGTGAAAACAACATTACTAAAACAGACCACATGTCACATGTAACTCCAACTACAAAGAAGGAAAGTGGCCAGGGAAGGGGAAACTAAGAATGACAAGATATGTGCCCAGCAAGAACAGAATAAAGGAGCAAAACTGGAACCAAAATCAGAATTC